TATGCTCTTGTGCCACTACCTGTATACAAGAAACTGAGTGGGTCAGGCTTAGGAGTCTGATGAGCACATAGGGTTTTCAACCCACAATAATTATGTTTATTAATTTCATCACATCAATCAACCCGATACTTGTTCATGTTATCCTCACTTTCAATCCCTAAAGCATTTAAATTAAGGGACCTAGCCTAAGGATCATCATCGGGATGACAATAATGCTTAGGGGATTCCTCAACAATATATGTCAGCAAGGCAACCATGGGGGGGGGGGGGGGGATAGAGTACACCGGTCAACACATCGTTCACAAACACCTACATGTTGCGAGCCTGCCAGCGTTCCACTAGACTGTCTAGAATAGTCTGTGGTCGTCATCTATACTCCTCTAGATGACTAAGTCAGCTTAAACATCGAAGCCTCTCATCATTTTAATTCATCTCTCATCATCTATTTCATCTACCCATCTTTACCCATCATAATTATAGTTATAAAGTACATATACAGTTTAAATCAAATAAAACATGTATATTTTGTTCATCCGACATAGATATCAAGAACACAGATAATATGCACACATAACACGTAATTTATATTAAATAATTCATATCTATGTGTAAGTTGAAAGTAACTATGCACTCACTTTTTAAAGTGATGATTCCCAACTCGGACAGTGCTTCGCTTCTAACAATTCTATTTCCCTTTGACGAAACCTAGTATTATTACCACTAGATTTTAGTCTAATATTTATTGCGACTATTTACGAACAATATTGTTTTATAAGTGTTAAACAATACTTTTCAACCACTATGTACAGAAAGGGTCCAGATATGAAACATCGGAGGGCAGGACCATTTTTGGCATTATAGCATTTCTGAAATCCAACAACCCTATGCGGTTCTTCAAAACCAGATTCCCCGTACCGCAAGTAGTTAAAAATATATTATAATAACGCTTTATATATTATATTTTATTATATATATATATATATATATATATATATATATATATATATATATATTGTTTATAAGTTCATAATAACGATAATAAACTTAACATAAGCTATATACTTAAAGTAGGGTAAGCATAACTCACTTACCGGGCTCTGAGGGGGGCAGAACTTCCGAGCCGAAAAGCTCTTTTTCTCGGAGCCTTCTAGCGCTCCGGGACTTGTCTCTTAGCACTTGGGAAGTACTAGAGGTTGGGGAGGTTTAGAGAGAAGTTAGAGAGAGAGAGAGAAGGGTTATGGTGTGAAGAAAAGTGGCAGCCCTCGCATGGTATTTATAGGAGGCTGATCCTCGGTACGCAGGGCGTTCCTCGGAGGAACGTTTGGCGTTCCAGGCACGCTGCGCCTACCAGGGCTACGCTCTGCGTACAAAGGGACAGATGGCGAAGTTCGGATGGGGCGACGTGGACGTTTCTGGGCCAAGATTACGATACCGCAGGGCGTTCCTTTTGTGTACGCGGGGCGTACACATGTACCCTTGCAACAACCTCTTCCAACTTCTAAATTCCGTAACTTTCGCATATGAGTTCCATTTTCAACGTTCTTTATATCCACGTATAGGTGGAGACGTACTCTACAACTTTTGTTTATAATCCGTCAGCTAATTTGACTTTATTTTTAAAAGTTATATTTTAACAGGCCTGGACAGGTAAAGTCCGTTAAACATTCATAAGTTTGTCATCCGACGTCCGTTTTCGTCTGTCTTTTTTATCGTTGAGCTCCTATTAACGAGATATTTGATTCTCGTTTAGGTTGTGTCGGCTAAAAATTGGTCGATCTAAAATTCGAATTTCGGGCTGCACACTACTATGCCAAATCTTAGAAAAATCATAACTTCCTCATACGAGGTCAGATTTGGACGTTTTTTTTATGCACGCTCTCGGTTTAGCGTATACTACGACTTTTGTTTAGATCGCTAAGGCTAAAAAGTACTTTATCGTAAACTCATTTTTTACGTCACACAACGTCGTGCCGGTTTTGTCGCGAAACTTCGACGGGTTATGACTTCTTCGTTATAAGTCGAATTTCGGCGTTTTTTATATCTCCGGAATCCTTGTCACGACCACTACAACTTTCTTCATAGATATTGGGTTTATCTATTATTTTATTTTTGACGCTTATTTTTATTCTTAACTTATTATATCTTATAAATAAATATAATGCATATAAAATCACATAATTCACATAATATTCAAATAATTTCTTTTTATTACTTCAAAGTAGGTTACAATTGTTGACCTAACTTATTACATCATCATACTAATGCTTAGCATAGAAACACGGACGTTACAACCTATTCACGTGATCCATATAAAAATGAAGTTTTAAACTAATGAACAATGTTTTTAAAAAAATAATCACTAACTAATGGCACTTTACAAATTATTTAGTAATGATTGTATTCTATAACTTTTAAACGAATAACAAAAAAATGATTCCTAAAAGTAACCTCACTCAAAATTTTCATTTCATTCCTTCACGCGGCCTTGTTCCCTGCATGCGATATTTTCCCTTGTCAGACCTCCGTCTTTAGCTTCATATCAGTCTACATTGTCTCGTCGTTGATTGTTACACATTGTAGTACATGAGGGGATGACATCAAGGGCAATTAAAAGTAATATAAAGTACCATAAAGTACCAACGCAATTAAAAGACACGGAGAAACCCCATTAAACTTACTGTAGTACATGAGGGGATGACATCAAGGGCACAAAAAGGCAACCATCATGGCTAGGTCGAACAGACAACAACGATGAAATGAGAGGTAACGAAGTTGCAAAAAGCTTAAGGTGCAATCATTTATGCAACTAGTAGTTGCAAAAAGCTTTAGGTGCAATCATTTATGCGTTATTTATTTAAAGTATATTAGTCATAGTTTTTGTTAACAAGTAGTTTTGCTGCAATCAAGTGAAATACCCTTACTTTTCATTGAAAACTAGTTTTCCATATTGATTTTGAGGTATTTACATATAATTTTTCTCCACCAGCATCCTTATTTTAATGAGTGTCAGAAAGCCAAAAACAGATTTTAGAAAGTGATTGACAAAACTTTCTAATATATTGGAAAGCATACAAGGGATTTATTCAGGTGCGGAGCTACATGGTTACTCGGAGCTACATGGTTACTCGGGGTGACACAGACAACCCCTCAAATTTTACCATCAAATGAAAAAATTAATGTAAATTCGTCAAAATTCGTCACAATTTTGTCACAAATCCGTCAAAAATCCATCACAAATCCGTCATGAATCTGTTGGAAATTCTCCAAACTAAGTTCTAATAAGTGTAAATTTAATGTAACTATGTCGATGTAACCTTTAGTGACGGAAATTGTCGACGAAAATGAGTTTTTTTAGTAGAGCAACCCTTAAAAAATTGTGCAACCCCTCATACTTTTTTTTGCGTATACCACTAGATTTATTACATAAGAAAGAATAAAACGTCTATAATCAGAATTTGCTACTATTATGTAAAATAATCACAATTTTTTTTTATATTACTTGTATACATAAAGCAACGGTGATAAATAATGGTGAACATGTAAAGAATAACATGTAAAGAATAACACGTAAAGAAACATTTTTAGTTTTATGGACCATGAATTTATCTTTTTTTTATATATATTTTGATAAAATATAATTGTTAGGTAAATATTTTAAAAAATACTAATGGTTGGTAAATATTTTTTCATAATACCATCTAGTAAAGAAAAATTCTAGAAATATTATTATTATCTTGATAACAAAATGTAAAAAATTAAAGCAAATAAAACTTAGAGAATTGAGTGTGGGCAACTGGATGTAACACCAAATTGGTGTCACCTCATCCATAACACCACCATAACACCAAGGGGGAAATGGTGTTCCACATGTTATATCATGTTAAAAGGTAGAGAGAGAAAATAGAGAAAATTATTTGATTGGTTGATGAAGGAGATAGCCAATCATCTTTATTGTTTTATCTTGTCCTCGTTACCACAACATGCAACATAACGAGCAAAAACGAATAGGGGGCGGTGTTCCCCCGTCACGACGCCGTTGAGGGTGCCACATCACCCGGTTGCTTCTCGTTTTCGGCCCATACCGCATCCTCTTATAAATATCGTTAGAACAACACTTGGCAAGGGGTGGTTTTGTAAATTGCCATACATAACCTTGTAGCCTATCGACCTGTCTATAAATTCAACAGAGTTAGGTTTTACTCACGCACATTCTTTATTCTTTAATCGGTTCTCTGAACGCCGCGGTTTTTTGATATAAGGTGAATTAGGATTCCATTGCCAAATCTGTTGGTATTTGTTGTCCCTAATCAAAGTCAGAGTTGTTATGAGCTATCGATTAGTAGGATAAATTTGTGTTTTCGTTTTTCGGTTTTGGTTAAATCCGTCGTCGGATTTAGAAAAATCTGAAAAGTAAAGATTAGGTTTTTATGTTTGGGAAATGATGCTAAAGGATATCGAATTTTGTTATCATAGGCGCAGTTTTGTGCTCTGCTGAACGAAATCTTATTTGCACGTCAGTCTGATCCTAAATTCTATTGTTATGAGATCTTTATCTTCTGTTCATTAATTAACTTTACTCTTCACTGAATTTTCGTTAAATTCATTGGTTTTATTGTTGATACCTGTGATGATATTCCAAAGGCTTGTTTCTCAGAGACATTCGCAGTGGCTGCCTAAGAGCTTTCGCCTTCGCCAGGCTTGAGAGCTAATGCTGTTTTTCTCCTTCCTTGGATGTCTGAGGTTTTTTATTTATTTTGAAAAAATGGGTTTTCTCGATGATGATTTCATAGATGACGAGTCTGATATATCCATTCCATTCATCGTGAAGACGAATCGAGACATTTGTCTGAGAGAAAACCCTTAACTAATTTAAAATTTTGAACTGTTTTTCTGATTTTCATTTTATAAAAGTAAATAAATCTCGCCATACGTAACAAGATGAATACACCAAAATTGAATTATGTATTTTAAGTTATGCAGAAGAATATAATAAACAAAAATCACTCTGGATTAATGCTTCTTTCTTCAACAATACTATGAAGGTTTGGTTGCCAATAATCAAGATCTGTGATTAGTTTCTTAGGCGATTCTCCCTGGTTTCTGTTTCTTTGACCACCCCTAGTAGGAGTAGACCCTGATGTCTGTTTCCCACTCGCAAACATACAAGTAAAACAGCTTTTACGCTCTTCTGACTCATCTCCACTTTTAAACGACTTCATACAAATACTTGCATCCCCATCTTCCATCGAACAACAACTAGTATCACTTTCTCCATCTTCATCTTCTTCACTGCTCAGCTTTTTGAAACTTTGACCATCTTGACCTATAGCTCCTGATCTCTTTATCGATAGTTTCTGAAGCTTTCTGACAGTCGAAATTGGCACAACATACACCTTCTGACCAGGCATTAACATGGTGTCTGGTTGCACGATTGCCCATGGCTGCTTGAACACGTTTGGATGGGCGACGCAGCATTTGGGGTTCCGACGAATGATCTCGGAAACAAGAACTGGTCGATCGTGAAGCTCAGCATGGCCACCTGGATGGACTATTTTGACCCTTAGATTTTTGGTACTGTTTGTGTAGAGCCAGCTTCCGATTCCCATAGTTGATTACTCTGTGATCGATTGTTGTTTATATTCTTGTTTTATGGCCAAACTTGGTCTTTGATAGCATCGTGCAAACTATGCTCGTTTTTGAACCATTTTGAGGTTAACAATGACAAGATTTTGTTGCTATTGCCGTCTACATAAGGTACTAAGGTACAAATAGGTACAATCAAGGCTTCTTATGAATTAGTATTAGTCTATTAACTAAGTTCTTTAATAAGACTAAATTAAAAGGCCAACAAACCTTTAGTTTGGTGTCTAAACATAAGTTTTGAAAACGTATGGGCAAAATAAATGATTTTATTTTATTTTATTTTATATTGACAATGTTGTCTTATATTGTAAACTAGGTTACAACCCGTGGAAACCACGGGTAAAAGATTTATAAAATTTTATTAAAGGAAATTTGTGGTATGGATATTGTTTTCCTCTTTCCTTTATGGTCATATTGGTAGTCAAATTTGTTAGCAAAACTGATGTAAAAATATGACCATGACTTCGAATATGACCATAAAGAAAAAAATAAAAACAATTAAAAAATAGTGAGGCTACTTGATGATATATGGTCCGTTGGCATGGCCTAGACTGTTCTAGCGCGCCAGCCTGTCCTGGTGCGCTCCTGTCAGCCCTGCATGGCTCTCTTGCAAGCCCTACTGGGGATTCTCCTGTCGGCTCGACCAGGCGCTCCCTCGTCTAGCACTCCCTTGTCATCCTCTCTTGGTGTGCGCCCGCCAGCCCTGCCTGGGGCGCGCCCGCCAAGCCCCGTCCGGCGTCTCCGGGCGGCCTTGCCCAGCTCCTTGCTAGTTGGGCCTGAATTGGGCTGGCTCAAGGCTTGACCTAATTGTCCCCTATATAATGAATTGTATCTCCTCCATGGAGAGGGACTTTTCCCGGGGGACCTTCCTCTTGGCTCAGCCGCCGCCCTATACTCCGGCCGGGTGGCTCAACCGCCACCCGCCGCCATCAACCACCATACACCACCACCAGCACCAAGATGGTTCTCTCTACCTAAAGAGAACCATCTCAGATCTACCAGATGATCTAACTTGACCGTCGGAGCCCGCTCCCGGGGCACAGTCCCTGGGACGGCTCTAACGACTTTGCACTGTGATATCCAGATCTCCGTCGCAGCAGAAGACCAGAAGAATCGACGGAGGTCGAAGTCGCATCATTTGGCGCCATCCCGGATTCGAGCAAGTAGCAAAAGCCTCAGTTGGTTCCAAGCTCGTTTTTCTCTTAGATCTGTTCAGATCTGTTGTGCTTAAGCTTAGGTTTGCTCAGATCTGTTCATATTTAGCACCATTTATTCAGATCCGTTGGCTCTTGCTAAAGATCTATTTGGATCTGATTAGCCACCCCTTATATATCTCGATCTGATGTGTTCTATTTTTCAGATCCCCTTATATGCTTAGTGTTTTTGTCCAGATCTATAGATTTTGTTTTCATTTTTCAGCTCAGATCTGTAGGTTCATTTCGCTTTTAGTCCAGATCTGAACGATTTATCATCATTCAAACATGTTTAAAGTTTGCAAAAAAACTTCTCAGATCTGTAGATTTGCTCTTGTTTTTGGTTCATTCAAACATTTTTCAAGCTTACAAAAACCCTATCAGATTCATTTTTAGTTTATATTTCGATGGATAATTTAGTAAGTGGGGGAGAAAAGAGGTTTTTGTGAGTTTTTCCCCATCTTTATTTATATTTTCGAATTTCATTCAGCAAGTTGAACAACAAACAATATTTTACAAGTGTTTACCTCTTTTGCTTGCTCATTATTAAGAAAGTAGATTTTTGGTTCCTGATTTATCATGAACAACTTCATTCAAGTTGTTTATCTGGTGCTTCCTCTAGAAGCTTAGAGATGGAAAACAAAAGATTTTCTGTTGAGCAAGCTGAAGAGTAAAAAAAGATTAATATAAAAAAAACTTATTAAATCTGTTTTTGTTTATATTTGGGGGGTTTTCTGAGCAAGTTAAGAAGAAAACAAGTTTTATGGGTTTTACTCCACTTGTATTCATAAATCATCAGAAAAACCTTTTCTAGCTGTGCGTTTTCGTGTATATTTTTAGTTACTGCAACAACTATTTGTACACAAAACTATGTAGCTTGTACATTTTACAAAATCTTCAGAGAAAGAAAAAAGAAAAAGAGAGAAGATTTTCTGTATACAAGCTTACTTGAGTTGTTTAGAAACTTAAAGGGAAAAATAAATTATTTATGAACTTTCTCAAACCTTCAGCAAACCTATTTTCTACCTGAGAATGAGTTTTTACCATCTATTTCAGTTTATCTTACTGAAACCTCACTTCAGTAATAACTTGTGGGTACAAGTATGTTTAAGTTATAAACACAGTTGTAATACTTGTACATTTCAAAACATATCAGGCCATAATTTTACCTCAAAGATTTACTCTATCCTTCTTAAAATTTGCTGCTTAGTAAAAAAAAAAAGAGAGAGAGAGAAGGGTAGAAAGAAGTTCTGCAAGAAAAAAGTGATTGTAAAATCAACACTTCATAGTCGATGCAGGAAAAAGTCATGGGTATCCTTTACCAAATATTACCTCATTATCTTTATTAAACTCAAAAGATACACACTATCCTACCAATTTTACAGTTTACAGCTCACAACTTACAGCAAAAAGAAATAAAAAAAAATACAAAGAAAAGCGTGTTCTGCTTTTATCATTCAGCCTACATTTAAAAAAAAGAAGGGGAGGGATAGCTGGTGCCCTATTGCATAACGTCAAATTAAGTCCTATATGAGCCTTACACTTCAGAAAATGACAAGAACACAAAAGACAACTACAAATTTACATGGGACCCGCATGGCACTTAATCTATCTCCCCATCGGAACCGGCAACAACCTTCGTTCCCACCGGGAGCCATTGCCGAGATCTCATTCCCCCACCTCTCCCGACTCACCACCGCTAGACGATCACCTCTCCCGACGGTTCTACAAAGTAGCACCACAGGAAAATCGTCGCTTCAGTCTTTCTCATGTGACGAGCCCCGATGAGAACCACAAGAAACAGAGGTCACCACCACAGTTAATTACAAGATCTCCGATAGACCATCTTCTCCGATCGACAAAACCACAGCCCCGATCTGTTGCTACATGTGGCAAGCTCCAATATATAAAAAAAAAGAGGAAGAAGGGGTTATCTCAGCTTCTCAAACCTCCATTTACAACCCATTGCTGCCACCTGCAACCAAATCATCACCATTGGACCTGAACTGCAACACCACCCAGCAATAGCAACTCCAGCCCCGATAACCAGTCCATCACCATTCGACTGTCGTTACTCCACCACTGCCTGATCGCCTTCAAGCCACAATCCAGCAAACCAGCGCCGCTGGCAGAGTCGCTGCTCCGATCTACTCACCACTCTGATTTTCCCTTACCAGCGACGAATCCCAACACGGAACCACAGTACCATCGGCTCACGACTGTCGCTCCAGTCTCCACCTACAAATTATGAGTCCCGATGAGGAATCAAACCCACCGGACGACTTCCAATCGCCACCTGCAACCGAACTAGCCCCAACGGCCGCCTTGAACTCCGACAGTGACAACAATTGCTGATCCCTGCGCTCTTCACACAGTACACTGCCAGTCTTTTTCCCGTGCTCCGACCCCTGACTCAGACATCAAACTCGTCGTCGGGAGTTTCTAGTGTCGCTGGTCACCGATGTTTCTCCTTTGGCATACCCTTATTACAGATCGAGAAAGCAAGGCGGCTGGAGATATTTCACCCTCAAAGTGGATTAAAGAATAAGTGGGCCTGCATTCCGTGGCACCCGTATACATTCACACGCAAAAACGAAAGGGAGTTAAGAAAATGATTTGGGCTGACATGGGCTACCAATTCTACCTTGGGCCATTATTTCCTTAAAGCGAATGCAACAAATACATTTTGGGCCTTATTTACATGGAGTTCTCACTCCAAATTATAATAAAATGAGATGTTTTTCGCAAGCCACTCAGTGCCCGAATGCAGCAATTCCGGCCAATGAAATAAATTCTCAGAATACGTGTTGTGATCCGGACTCACCCAACATTAACAAAAAAAAAGAGTTTGGATCGCCAATTCAGAAAACCATGCTTAATGATGCGACATCGACCTTCGGCGTGCCTTCTGGTCTTCTGCTGCGGCGGAGATCTGACATCACAGTGCAAAGTCGTTAGAGCCGCCCCAGGGACTGTGCCCCTGGAGCGGACTCCGACGGTCAAGTTAGATCAGCTAGAAGATCTGAGATGGTCCTCCATAGCTGGAGAGAACCATCTTGGTGTTGGTGGTGGTGTATAACGGCGGGTGGCGGCTGAGCCACCCTGCCGGAGTATAGTGGCGGCTGAGCCAAGGGGAAGGATCTAGTAGCGGCTGAACCACTTGGGAGAGAGTCCTCCAAGGAGGATGCACTATTCTATTTATAGGGGACAACTAGGTCAAGGGGAATTAGGTCAGGCCTTGGGCCAGCCCAATTCAGGCCCAGCTAGCAAGGAGCTGGGCTAGGCCGCCCGGAGGCGCCGGGCGGGGCTGGCGGGCGCGCACCAGGAAAGGATGGCAAGGGAGTGCCAGGCGAGGGAGCGCCTGGCCGAGCCGGCAGGAGAGTCCCCAGCAGAGCTGGCAAGGGAGTCCCCAGCAAGGCTAGCAAGGGAGCGTCAGGCAAGGCTGGCAAGGGAATGCCAGGCAGGGATGGAAGGAGCGCGCCAGGCCAGGCTGGCGCGCTAGAGCAGTCTAGGCCATGCCAATGGACCATATATCATCACTTAAATAAATCTATTCTAGAGCTTTCATCTAATTAGAAATGGACTGCCAATATTTATTATGGGCTCCTACGACAAGTGGACCTATTCTAATTTATTTTGCGTTCCTTCCAAGCAGCTACTCAGTGTTTGTGTACTGCAATCCCGACAAACAGACTCCATTTTCAGAAGATTCGATCCTTTGGTCCAACGCATCCGACATTTCCATTAAATAAATAAAGAATCAGAACTTGGGCATCTATTATACAAGTTCAGGCTCCGCTGGTGGCCTACTAATTATATTTTGGGCTCCTCCTACGACATAGGGGCTATGATACTCTAGATGGACTCTTGAATTTATTTTAGCAATGTAGGCTTCCCTACATCAATTTTTCATCTTATTGGGCCCATAAAAATCAATAGCTAATGATCACGTGTGCAAGTCGGTCCAACAAAGTCAAAATCCAAAAGATACATTGCGGTCCAACTCGACATTATCTAAAAAAAATAGTGGGGGGAGAAGAGTAGTTCGCTACTACTGCTACTCGTGAAGCATTTCGAAACAACCCTCAGCAACCACATTGCTCGGCTATCAGCAGCCGTGTTGACCAACTGCAGGCAGTCTCGCTACTTAGCCCTCACCATTCATGTTGGCCGGCCCTCTCTATTCTCGCTGCTAAGCTCACAGCAGTCGTACTGCCTAGATCCCAACAGTCACGTAGCCCGGCCCCCTGCAGCCATGCGACCCAGCTCAACAGCCTCAACTCCAGTCAAACAACCAAGACATTGAGGCACCAATTACCACCACGACTAGTGATGCAGCAAAGCATCAGGCATTATTACACTTCAAATCGGACTGGTCACCATATCTAGACAGAAGATTGCATATTGTTGCGCCCAATCATGCGAGGTTCAGTACCCTCGCCTCGAGTCGTCTGGCTTCTCATGCGAGGTTCAATACCCTCGCCTTGAGTTGTCCGGCTTCCCAGCCCGACCTCATTATAGCGGCAAGCTCCGCATGCGAGGTTCAACACCCTTGCCTTGAGTCGCTTGACTTCTCAGCCCGGCTCCATTATAGCGGCAAGCTCCGCATGCGAGGTTCAGTACCCTCGCCTCGAGTCGCCTGGCTTCTCAGCCCGACTTCATTATAGAGGCACGCTCCGCATGCAAGGTTCAACACCCTTGCCTTGAGTCGCCTGGCTTCTCAGCCCGACTCCATTATAGCGGCACACCCCGCATGCAAGGTTCAGCACCCTTGCCTTGAGTCGCCTGACTTCTCAGCTTGACTCCATTAACGGCATGCTCCGCCAACGAGGCTCAAAGGCTCGCAACCTTTGCCTATATAAATACACGCGATGCTTTCCCGCGTGATGTACTTACGATCGCTGGCAGCCAAGCCCGATCCATTCCACGCGATGCTCTCCCGTGTGATGTATCTACGATCACTAGCAGCCAAGCCCGATCCATTCCACATGATGCTCTCCCGCGTAACATCTCCATGATCGTCGGCTGCTAAGCCCAAGCTATTCTCCTAAGTCACGCAACATAAGTCGCGCATCGTCCCGCACCATAAGTCGCGCATCACAAGCTTATTCCGTGACTAACACCATGCGGTGCTTCCTCTCTCATAGTCATCATGGTTCTCTTGTGCTCGGACGATCGATGAAGTGTTATCCACATTACAACTTGTTGTAGTGAGGTTACTCTCCAGCAAGAAGGTCATCCCGACAACGGCCCTGCTACCTACTACCTTTCAGCATCTCTGTTTCCTGGCTCTCGGAAACGGTCTTGCTATGCAACCTTACCTGTAGCCTCGCTGCGTATCCTACAACATCTCTGTTTCCTGGCTCTCGGAAACGGTCTTGCTATGCAACCTTACCTGTAGCCTCGCTGCGTATCCCACAACATCTCTGTTTCCTGGCTCTCGGAAATGGTCTTGCTATGTAACCTTACCTGTAGCATCGCCGCATACCCCACAACATCTCTGTTTCCTGGCTCTCGGAAACGGTCTTGCTATGCAACTTTACCTGTAGCCTCGCCGTGTACCCCACAGCATCTCTGTTTCCTGGCTCTCGGAAATGGTCTTGCTGTGCAACCTTATCTGTAGCCTCGCCGCATACCCCACAGCATCTCTGTTTCCTGGCTCTCGGAAACGGTCTTGCTGTGCAACCTTATCTGTAGCCTCGCCGCATACCCTACAACATCTCTGTTTCCTGGCTCTCGGAAACGGTCTGGCTGCGCAACCCATACATTTGGCCTCACCGCTTATCCCTTAGCACCTCTGCTGCCTGGCTCTCGGCAACAGTCTCACGGCATATTTCCTATCAATAGTCTCACTGTCTGTCCCTCAAGAATTCTGTTGTCGGGCTATCGACAATAGTCTCACTGCGTGACCCTCGCTAGCAACCTAGTCGACCAACTCTCAGAACCTCTTCCACTTATATTATGGTCAACAACCTTACGGTTTATTGGTTTGACAACATAGTCTGACACGGCTACCTACGCTACCCACATCAGACTGGGGGGAATCCAGCTAGGTGAAGCCCGAGCAAGAAAGACCCTCAAGACGGTTATTAATGCATACTATGTAGATGGTTACTGGTGACATCCCATCTGCGCATGGATACAACAACAATCACGTCGGATAACAGTCTCAGGGACTGTATGGCAAGGTTACGGTTCTTAGCTACCCCGGCCCGACACTCCATCGACATCAGTGTCGTGTAACACTCTTTAGCAGCCCCAGTCTGCATGATCGCAGCAACAATTACGTTGCATCGCACCGATTGGCTCGCGCTCCTCTCAATGAAGGAGTATCAAGTCCTCTCAAGCTACATAAGCAATGCTTGGCTCATCGCAGAACCCCACGACTCTCGTGGGCGAGGTTCGGTCATTTCTCTTTATTATTTATTGTATTGGTGCTTTATCTAGTCTGATCCGATTATCAGCAACCTAATCGCATCAGACTAGGGGGACTCCCTTGCCGGCTCGACCAGGCGCTCCCTCGCCTGGCACTCCCTTGCCATCCTCTCTTGGTGCGCGCCCGCCAGCCCTGCCTGAGGCGCGCCCGCCAAGCCCCACCCGACGCCTCCGGGCGGCCTTGCCCAGCTCTTTGCTAGTTGGGCCTGAATTGGGTTGGCCCAAGGCCTAACCTAATTGTCCCCTATATAATGAATTGTATCTCCTCCATGGAGAGGGACTTTTCCTGGGGGACCTTCCTTTTGGCTCAGCCGCCGCCCTATACTCCGGCCGGGTGGCTCAGCCGCCATCAGCCACCATACACCACTACCAGCACCAAGATGGTTCTCTCTAGCTAAAGAGAACCATCTCAGATCTACCAGATGATCTAACTTGATCGTCGGAGCTCGCTCCCGGGGCACAGTCCCTGGGGCGGCTCTAACGACTTTGCACTGTGATATCCAGATCTCTGCCGCAGCAGAAGACCAGAAGAATCGACGGAGGTCGACGTCGCATCACTACTAACATAAG